TTTTTCTTTGGCTTGTGTTGTGTCGTTTTACGGTGTGACAAAAATCGCTTGTTTTGTCAAGACACTCACACAAAGGAATAAAATTGGTCTTCTTCTTTTATTTCCTTTTTCTTCTTGTTATTTAATTTTATTTTTTTATTTTTATTTTTTATTTTATTTTAGTGTAGTTAATGCACTTGGTATGCAACACGTTACTCACTTTCGGCTATTGATTCTTGGTTTGCTGTTGGCCTTTTCATGAAAAAAAAGCTTCATAATATTTTATGTGTTTAAGGAAAAAATTTGTTGTCACTCAATTTTTTTATCGTTAAATCAATATACATTATGTATATACGATCCTTCATTTCGTCGGGGTTTGTATCCGTTAGATCATCATGTAATCGTCAGATATAATTATTCTAAAGATTATAAACTCAGATGAAATAGTTTCGTTTTAGTATGGTGTTTTATCCTTAATCAAAAATACTCCTAAAATTAATTAATTTACCATGTTGATGACACAGATACGACCCGCCATAAGGAGACTAAGACATAAGTCGGTGGAATTCATAGATGGAACTGTAGAAAATTTCGAAGCAATTATATTGGCAACCGGTTACAAAAGCAATGTGCCATCTTGGCTAAAGGTACTTATTTTTTTTTTTTTTTTTTCCTCCTTATTTTAGTTTTCTAATTATTAGTTTTTTGCCTTTTTATTTTTCTCTCTTTTTGCCCCCCCCTTTTTTTTTTTAATTATTATACCTTTAGCATATAGAAAATTCATTCAAAATAGTTAAAAATTGCATATTTATTTATAGACCCCATTTCATTTTATTTTCAATATGACCCCATTACAATTAGCTAATCATGGCATTTTAATGTGAAAATGTGATAAAAAAATAGTTAAAATGGTTCCTTGACAATAAAATATATATATAAAAAAAAATAAATCGATCCTTCTGGTGAAAGTCTGTCTTTATCGAGAGTTTTATCAGTATATCAAATATATTCACACTCGCACACATATGCGCGTCGATCTAATGATAAAAAAACTAGTAAAAACTGTACACACGAATTTTTCAATGGAGTAACGCTATAAGTACGTAATATTGTACATAGGGTGTACATAACACTCACATTGAGTGAGATTCACCAAAAATAAAAATAAGGGACCACACTCCATGTGAGTGTTATGTACACCTCTATCTACATTTATTATGTACTTGTAGCATTTTCCTTTTCGACGTGTAGTTTATAATAATAATAATAATAATAATAATAATAATAATAATAATAATAATAATAATAATAATAATAATAATAATAATAATAATAAAGTATTGATTGGCTAGGCCATGTTTGGATGAGTCATGAATTTGTCCTCTTTTCCCTTCTCCAACACAGGAAAGCAATATGTTTTCAGAAAAAGATGGGCTCCCAAAAAGGCCATTTCCAAAAGGGTGGAAAGGGGAAAATGGGCTTTATGCAGTGGGGTTCACCAAACGCGGCCTTCTTGGGGCATCAATGGACGCCAACAACGTTGCAAATGATATTGAAATCTCTTGGAAGGCACAAAATCAAGATATTATTAATTCCCCCATTTCTAGTTGGCCAATTTTATTGAAAAAAATTGCATAATTTTGTACAATATATATATATATATATATATATATTATATATAATTATATATATTATTAATTGGTAGATTATATTATAATGTATAAGTAAAGCCAATATAGGGTTAAGCTGAAAGAAAGAGAAGGAAAAAAATTGAGGGAAAAAAAAGGAAGCATATATATAGTAATATGTATACATTATACACATAGCTAATTTTTTTCAGATTTTGTTAAAAGTTCTTACTTGTAATTGCTTTGTATCCTCAAACTATATTTTGATTGATTATTAATATAGTTTATGATGTTTGTTGTATTTGTTGTAATATTTTTGTAATTTAATTAGAAATGTAATAGTATCTTCATTTACTTTTCTTCCAATTATATGGTATATATGTAAGAGATTAAATTAATTATAAAAAAATAATTAAAGCATGGTAAGAGAAAATGGTCATTAAAAAACTAAAGTTTAAATATATGATTGGGAATAATTGACAAAAGGTAAAGAATAAATTGTAATTTTTTTTTTATTTTATCTTCAGTAATATTTATTTAATATAAACGGAGGAAGTAGTTAGGTGTGCATGTGTGTGTGTGTGTGTGTGTTTTATTTTATTTTTAATTTTTTTCAAATGAACTATATTTATGAATATTGTCCAATGATTAATTTTGGGTTTATATGTAACAACTTATATTCATCATATTCTTCATTTGGTTAGGTGCATGATTGCATTTTATAAAGTAGATAGACCATAAAAAAATTGAACAAAAGAGAATGGACTTGATTATATTTTGGATTTTTGACAAAGCTCGCTCTTATACTTTAGCTTGAAACCTTATTAATGTGCACTTAGACTCACCTTCTTATGGTGCGCTTCACTGTGTGAGACCGTAAATCTAATTCCCTCGATTATAAAAAAATTTACAGTTAGACAACTATATTTTTCAATACATATTTATATATGCAAACTAAAATGTCATACTCCAGATTAATAACAATAATATAAATGTACGATATTTCTAGCATACGTATGCATTTTAATGAGAAAATATGACTAGACGAATAATTTAGGTTGTCTCACACAAAAATTTGTACATTGATACACAATGCACTCAATAAAAAAAAATCAGACCAAAACTCAACTTAAAAGAGCAACCATAATTGTACCAAATTGTTATCAACACTACCTAAGCTAGGTTCTTTCTAAATATAGAACTTAGTTTGAAAAATGCCCAAAATGAATGGTACAAACCCTAAAAATGACCACTCTAAATACTTTTGACCAATGGCTGAGATGGAGGGGGAGTAAAGGGTATATGCCACGTTTTGAGTTGCCATTGGCCCAAAAATTCCAGTACCTTTGGGTTAAAACTCAATGAAATTGGAACGTTGAGATCAATTATGTACGTCGAGAGGTCAATTTTACAGCTGATCACATGGTCAACTTGGCCGCGTCTTCCTCGATCGGGCTTGAGATAATGCCTGCACCTTCGTCTGGGTTGGGGGTTTGGCTCGAGCTTCATATTACAGGGGTGTGCTACCCACGTCAAGTCTCAATCTAAACCGTGGGGTCTTTGCCTCCTTTATTGCACCAAACATA